TGAGTTTATTTTGTTTATGTTATATTAAATTAGGTGTGCGTTTCTTGAACCGAATATCTAATGACTTTTTCCAGGTAAGCTTTCCACATTCTTCGCTATTTTACATTAGATTTAATACTAAATTACTAAATGAGTACACAGTTTATTGTAACAGCAGCAGAAGCAGCAGCAATTGTTTCAATTCCAATTTGTCTTTCTTTTGGATAAAACGCATGCGCTATTTAACAACGAGACGAGTCGAGTCTTTTATGTGGGAAAGCTTTTCCAACTTGCAATTTAATTACTTATATGATATATATGTGGTTAGACACAGTAGTGTACAGTTTATATACAAAAAACATACCAAACGTTTATTTTGTATGCACTTTTATGCTCTTGAAGCATGCGAAAATATCAGCAAGCAATCAAGAAAAAACTATCTCACATGTTACCAATCAAGAGAGAGAGAGAGAGAGAGAGAGAGAGAGAGAGAGAGAGAGAAAGAGAGAGAAAGAGAAATATTGGTTATTACCAAGGTTGAGATAATCCAAAAGCTCAGTAGCAAATACAACCTAAGATAATAGATTGATAAAAAGAGAAATTCCGAACAATATCAATACCTTATGCATATGACGGCATCTTCGGTCAAGACAGCGTATATTAGCTCGAGAGCAACTCTCAACGGAAACCACCAACACCTACCCTCGTTTAGTAGTAATATTCCTTTTTTTCAGTTAACAGCACAGCATTTTTATTTTTCTTTTAGATAGCCCACAACATGAGAGCTGATATGTAAGGAATACGTGAGAAGTTCGTTCCCTTTGTAGCGAATGTTAGATGCAAATCACCGAAAAAAACGCGGGACGCTAAACAAATTTTTAAATATCCCTTTTTTTAATAAATACGCATCAAAAGGTTAACGGAATCTATTTGTACTGGGGTTACACATGATCTTAATATATATTCGATAACAGATATTTGATATTTGTCATAAACTTCAAGTTGTTCTGCAAATCAAGCGAATATTCGATTTATTGAAATCATGGCTTTCTTCAGTAGTCAAATTTCTTTCTCATTATAAGTATACGGTGAATAGACAATGCCTTCTCTCAAATTTCTGTGCCTAGCATCTGTTAGCATCGATAAGAAAACCAATAACAAGAAGAGAGAATTGGTAACATTACCAAATTTCGATAAAGGTTCAAACAATGATAAACCCCTTTTGGGAAGTTTTAAGAAGAATTCGTTTTTCAGCAAAAGCGGGGGAGGTGGGAGCAATCCCACGAAGTTCACAAAAGACGGAATATAAATTATATATGCATTATTGTGTGATTCATTAGCGGCAATCAAAATTACCGTTGATGAGTCGGCCGTAATTATTTTTACTTTCTAATAGAAATAAGGAAGTTTTTAATATTAGGATAAATTGTTATCAAGTTCTATTATAGGCAAAGCGCTGTTTCTGGGTTGCATGAAAACTGAATACCAATCCTCTGTGCAAAGCATAAGCTCTGGCCGTGGGGAGCGAGGATCTAAACAGTTGTGCAACTATACAGACCCAAAAAGGAGTATAACTTATAAACAGCCAAATGATGAAATTTGGAATGTGTGATGTTGTAGGTTGAGTACAATGAATGCGCTGGACGGATGCTAACGTTACCCCTTTTTTTAGCTTTTCCCAATATTTCTATCATTATTCGAATTCACACACAAATATTTGTTAAAATAACTAAAGTCGCCACAAACATTATTTTCTAAATATAATCAAAAATTAATAATTAATTACTAAGTCGGGAAAAAACTTTTGCATATAAATTGTACATTATAAAGTCACACTATTGCAAAAATGAAACGAAAAAAATTAAAATATTAGAGAGCTTGTATAGTAAAAATCATATAAGAAAAAATATATAAGAAGAGAAAAGAAAATAATAATATTTAATGTAATAATAATAATGATATTATAACAACAATAATAATAACAATTTCATCTATTTATATTAACTTTAGCCCTTTGAAAAGAGGTAATAATTATTTAATATTCTATTTAAAGAGGAAATAAAATATCATTCATTAGAATAATCGAAAAGCAATTTTTATTTCATTACTAAAAAAAAAAATTCTAATCTAATTTTTAAAAGTTCGCTTACGCTTACTGCACCTTTTTAATATTGACCCAGGAAAAACATGAAAAAGGGAGAAAATGGTTTAATATTGAAAAGCACTTACTTTCTTTACCATTTGTAAGCGAAAAAAACTACACTAAACAGCAAGATACCATAAGATTTCGATAACAGATTTGAAGGGCTCTAAGGCGATAAAATGATATTTTCATCAAGGTCAAGAACATGTAACGTAACGTTTTATCATAACTTTGCATTAATGAGTGTTAAGTCTTGGGAATAAAATTTATATATTATGTAATGTATGATGTATGATATATTATATATGTATATTAGTGCGTATATGGTGGTATATGTGGTATGGTAGTACAGTTAAATAAACTTTTGGCCTAAATTGTTTTACAAATTAGGAAAAACATATGTTAAATGAAAGTTTACGATATTAACAGTTCCGATCGACTCATAGCTGTTGTCGTACATTTTCTTGTTAATAAGATGTAAAGTTTACGAAGTACTATTCAATATATTGGACTTGCAAATAAGTATTCAAAGTATTTTCAATCCTGAGGGGTGGGTGGACAGCGTTCATCATTCATCAAATTTCCTACATTTGCAAATCTCACTTGCACCAAGCCATTGGGCACTACACAAAAAAAAAGAGAATACATAACTATATAGAAATTAAGAGCGGAAATGTAAAATAAGGAAATTAAAATTCTGTTCAGTTAGACAAAACTACCAGGTATTATTTCTCATACATACGCAATTATTTCTCACACAAGCAGCATTTTTTTATTTGATGAGGGAGCTTTTGAAGTGATATTCTCTTGCAGTAATTGTACTAAACTTTTACGAGGCTAAATATTAAAATCCAATGAATGCTCAAATGACAGTTTCACAACTCATTTTTCATTTCTAATGAGTAACGTTTTCTACGATTTTATTTTGTCTAACAATAGAAAATTTTGTTTGGTTTATCGTAAGAGAAAATTCTTTCAATCCAACTGAATTAAACTGAAAATTATGTTTAATTTAAAGTTCGCCAAAAAGTATGCAAACGATTTTTGTTACAATAATGTAAATTAAATACATAATCGCAAAAAAGTGGGTGAAGAAAAACTTCTGTTTGTCCTTACATTGGTAAAGAGAAAATTTGCATATTTAAAAAACAAAAACTTGCTAATTGCCAAGCTAGCAGTTTCTGTCTTGACATTTTTACGTTGGATTGGAAAAAAGAAGCAACGATCACGTAATATAATGGATATGAAGATTTATTTGAAAAATTTTCCAAAAATACTTAAATAAATCATGATTCAATGTTGCCGTCCTAATTGAACATCTAACCATATATGGTTGAATATAAGCTAACGGGATTAAATAAAAACTTATGCGAATAGTTTGTATTTTGTATACAAAGGTGTTGCATTCGTTTAAAATTTCATAGTAAAATTCATAGTTTAGATTAGAAATTTTTAATTTATTAAACATTTATATGGTTGTCTACGATGCAATTTGAAATTTACGGCTTTCACTGTCTTGAATAAACCTTTGAACTAAGCAATAGCTAAATACCTAAACGGAAAAGTATACATAACTTATTTAGGGGAACACATCTACAGATTCGATTTTAAGACGAGAAAAAAAAGTCTCTTGATTTCATAAGATGACAGGACCATGGAGGAAAACAAAAAACAAAAACGAAACTATTTTTGGTTATATGCAAGTGAAAACTGAAAAGTCGCATTTTATTGTCATTTTATGTAAACAAAGTCTCTGTGGATAGGCGGTGTGGTCAGAGCAAAGTCAACGCGTTTTGTGCACATATCACCATAAAAACTTTGCCTGTCAATTCTTTGAAAGGACCAACAACCGAACACAATGAAAATGGCCAAACAAACGAGCCCGCAACAAATCTAAACGAATGCTAAACAAATTCAAACATTCAAACGTCACTGTAATAAAAATGCAATGCTACACAACTCAACACATAGCGATACAGCAACTAAAATGTAAGACAAAATTAGAAAATCGAAGAAGCCACTGTGATAGAGTAGACAGTAAAAAGTGAAATAACTTCGAATTTTGTTACTTTAAAGACCAAGTGAAAGAGTTTTCTAGCTAACATGGTATGTTTTGTATTTAACGTTTTTAGCTTATTTCTGACCGCTCCGAATGTTAGAATGTAAATATTGGAAATATTTACTCTCTTTTCGCACACATTGACTTGGAAAATCACTAAGCACCAGCAATTAAACAAAAAAAAAGTACATCTCTTAAGTTTCAAAATGAATTTAATTAAAATGAACCAAAAATATATAAAAAAAAAAATCAGAAAATTCCAAAGTTTAAATTGAACAAAGTTCTCTTTCGAATATAATAATTCTAGTATTGTGTGAGGCTATAAATTTTTTCACCAACATTTTTTTTTTTTTTTGTTTTTTGAGAAAGATTGCTTTTATTCGAGCTAATATTTAATTTAATGGTTAGTTTGCCTAGTGATAGGTTTCTGGCTGCATGGTGAACAAGTGCATTGCGTGAAATTGATTTTACAGCGGCTTTAGCGACACAAATAAAAGTCAACCGAATATGAATTTTTATTTCATATGTTAAATAATCAAAAAAGTACTCAGCCTAATACTACAGACAGCATTAGTTGATTGCCATTGTTAGCATTCATGAATTTGAACTAAGTGAATAAATTTAATATAAAAAGGGTCTACAAAGAAGAACTGAACTTTTAAAGGCTCAATATATTTGAATCTATCGCACATTTGTTGTACGCACAAGGATATTGATACTAGTACGTGACAACGTTCATTTCACAAATTCAACCCCAAAGGCTTTTATATACACGTACGCTTTATTAATCGAAGAATAATTTTTTTTGTCCGTACTTACAGCGATCTTTGAGGCGAGGTGGCGCAGGCGGTGATATATGCTTCAGAGTTCGCCCTTTCCGTATCGAATCCATTAATTGTTCGCGTGGTGAAGGCGTACGTTTTATGGGCGGCGGTAATTTACGATCCGAGGCCTGAAAATTACAGATTTAAATAAAAGAAGAAATTACTTTTGAAAAATATCTTTTTTCTTTTATTTGCAAATAATTTCCAATGCTAAGTTTTTTAGTTTGCAATGTAAGAAATTGCATGTCTGACTTTGCGGTGGTAACTCCTTTACACAAAGACAATAATGCTAGCAACATGCCAAGAAAGCGCAACAAACTGGGCCATCTATCTATTTAAACTAAAATTGCGAAAAAAAAAAAAACAAAAACTCTACCCAAAGTGTTTAAAAATAAACAGCTTATGTATGAGCGAATATATGCACTGTTATAAGTACACACTTATGGCACTTTCCCTCCCATAAGCTAAAGTTATTTTGTTACAACAGACCACTGAATAGAAAAAATGTATTTAAAATTTTCGACATTTATGGTCGTACAAACAACATTTTATCGTAAAAAGAGAACATACGCAGAAAAGTTGTGGGAACCAGTTCGCAGGAATTTAGACGAAGAGTGGTATGTTAAGTTATACGTTTAGCTTGATCTGTTAACAATAATATACAAAAAGATAGTGATCGTCTATCCTATATCGTGCAGAGAGGGTAGTTGAATTTTATACCGAGTCTTTTATACTTGTATATAATAGCTGGAAGTTGTTTGTCTAATTATACGAACCCGAGGATCAAGTGGTCAACCATATTCTTTTAGATGTTAAGATGCTGCGAATAAATGTTTATACCAAATACTAAAATTATATCTGCTGCGTAGTTTGCAAGCTCCTCGACTATTTCAGATTTTATTGTTAAGAGGCTGAGAATGTCTGTAACTTCTTCTGGGTCACCAAAAAATGCTGTACTAATTTCTCTTTGTCAACGCACATACGGATGTACTGGAATTTCAAATCAGCAGTTATAACTCTAAACATGACTGACTAAGTACTTTTTTAAAACACTTGAAATATATATATATATATATACATAATAATCAAACCTTTTTTAATGGAGGTCGCGATCGGATGAACTCTAGTATTAAAGCGTGGGCATCTTTTTTCACGCGCGGTGGTATGTCGCCGTTGACCATAACTTTGCGTAATTGGTATTTTCTGTAAACCGTAAACATTTCAAAGCCATTATCGTAGAAACTCATCTAAGAAAGCTGCAGACATGTACACATACCTGGAACGTATATCTTCCATTAGAATCTCGTAGGGTGTCAGTTCGTATTCTATAGGTGCTCGTTCGTAGTTTGCTTTCTTTAAACGAACGCCGCGCCTTAATTCATCAATAACTTGTACCCAAAAGCGAGCCTGTAAATAGTTAAATAAATGATCTATCATAGGAACAGTTTTTTCACACACGCAACCAATTTTCTTTTTTATAAACTAAACTAATCAGGACTAGGTCCATCAATCAGGACTAGGTCCATCAATACCTACTTGTACTGTTCTCCAGATTTCCAGATCTTGCTAAGTTGTTAAATGCAGTATATTATCAGAGAATAAACAAGAGAAGGATAACGTACTTTATAATTTTAGTTGCAATAATCGAAATAATTCCTTCGAAATTGAAATACCAGCATATTTATTTTTGTTTCTAAGCTCTACTCCCTAAGCAATGTTGGTTAAGAATTATTTATTTCAAGTTCTTACGCGAACTCTTTTCTCTTTATTTCGATAGAGTTTGTATGCCTTCCATCTACTTCCGACCGAGGTTGCGAAATTGCTTGATATTTTAGGGAATAATGTCAGAAAGCAAAATTTTTATCACTTTCTACGTTAATTCCTATTCATGGTATTAATATTTTGAAAAAAGCTTTACAGGTAAAAAAGTTCAAGCCAAATCCCACACGCGTACACGTAAACAGAGAGCATCTCTGTTTTCCAGCAGGAATAAAAAATAAACCACATGAACCACAGCAAAATTTGAAAGATTTGATCCATGATCGAGGCGGTAGTACCAATGGGTATTAAAATTTAACTTTTTTTTCGATATCTTTATAACACGCGGAAGCTTCGGAAACCCCATAAAGTTTATAAATTCTTAATAAGTTTCAAATTCGCACTGCATTTAAGTTTTCCCAATTATATAGTATCTGTGATAACCATTCTCCCGCTCACAAAAATGAAGATATCGTTCATAAATTTGCGAAAGCGTTCGCAAGGTCGTGGGTATAAAAGACCGGATACAATTTGCTAAATTGTTCAATTTTGAATTGATGGTAATAAATGAAAATCTTCACGTTGCGCAATAGATTTAAGGTTGTAAGCATTAAAGATGTATTGTGCGTGACAGTCACGTAGCTTCCTTTCCTACCATTTCACGTAATCAAGAAACTCACAATTCAAAAATTTCTAGCACTGATTTTCAACTCTAAAGTATTCCTTATTCATTTAAGGACCTTTGAACTTGAATATTTTAGACATTCGGTTTCTCACAGCGCACCGCAGCATATTGTCAAATAGTAGTTGAGAAAAACGAGTTAGTTTGGCGAAGACCTCTTCTAATGAGAAAGGTTTTTATTTTGAGTCTCTAATAAGATTTGGTATATGAAAGATAATCTTAAACGGTCACTGACATAAGTTTGCTTCTTTCGAAGCAGGCGATGTTGAAGGATAAAATTCGAATTTTTTTTCTACATAAAATGTAATTTTAATTTCAGCGATGGGATTTTCAAGTCCATGCGACGGTTGCTACAATTGCGGCTTAAAGCGATTCGAAAGCATAATTATAATATTTTTCCTATATGAGAGCAAGTGCTTTGATAGCGCATGAATTGCACCGACAATGGCACACCGAATAGAAAAAGTTGTCAGACGAAAAATTCGAAAAGAAAATTGTGGAGCCATTGGCTCAACAAGCATTTATGTACCTGTACAGATTGAACGAAATTCATATGAATGCACAAGTTTTTGGAAATTGCAATTGAGGCAAATCTTTTTGACACAAAAAACACAACAAAAACAAACGCGGACAAGTACGAGAGCGCAGAAAGCGGCAGAAAATGTATTTCAACATAAGCAGCATAACAGATGACAAATCGCATAATTTTGAATGCACTTCATATGTAATCGAATGATATAAAGAAAATCTCTGCATAGATTGTGCATTCGAACACAACAATAAACAACATCAGCAGCAACTCTTTCTTATAATATTTGATATACAATACGGCAAAGCGGTGCAAAAATGATTAACCCGCCTATGAACGACAACCATTCTTCGTAATAACAAGCAACGTAAACAAAATATTCGCAATGTGCGATACTATCGAAAATTAGTTACTCAAAAGTTATGCGCAATAGTGCCGTTAAAGTTTTACAAAGAATTAAAATGGTCGTGCTGTCGTGTAATAGAGTTGCAAGGTTTGCTTTTTTTCTCTTATTTCGCTTGATCGTTAACAGTAAATGATTGCGTGAATCAAATTCAACAACAATAACGACATGTTTACAACAACAGCAATGAGTTGTAATCACAACGGCGAAGATGATTTGACAGTTGACTCTTGACTGCTGCATAATATCGATGGTAGGCTGATATCTTTTGCCAAGAAATAATAACAATAAAGAAAGAAAGAAGAAGAAAAAATAAGCAATAACAAGCAGTAGACAAAATCATTAGCATTTTCAGGAAGCTCTTGGCTTACATGTGCAAGTCCGAATATTTTTTTATCTCTAAACACGCATACAAACACGTATGCATATATAACTTGTGTATAACTTTTAAAATTTTAAATTTTTTCATTTGAAATGAACGATATTACTAAAAAATACAATCAGGATGTGATGTAATTCCAAAAAAAAAAAAAAAGAAAAAAAGGCAAGTAACGAAAAATGCACTTTATTAACATAATGACTGTAACACTGTATAAAAGCAGCAGCAGAAACAACAACAGCAAACCAACTGTTAAGTTTAATGCGGCATAACGTGTAGAGTTAAATGTTTCAAACTTGAATGGAATATCACGTAAAAGAAATCAGTGGGGCATGGCATAGAAAAACATTGCCGACATTATACGTAAACCTGATTGAGCGCATGTAAATCGAATTTCCGCTAATTGTATACCGGGAATATGTCTTAGCTATCTTTGACATTCGTTGTCAACTGAAAACATTACACAAATTTGGAAATGGCAATGACCACCCATGGGCGAAAGCCTTGTATAAAATTGCTTAGAATTATCTTTACATTTATTTAACAGCATGGTGTAATGTCTGCCTTACAGAGGATCTTTTCAAAAGAACGTGTTATCCTCCTTTTTCGCTTTCTCTTTTTAAGGTTATATCTTCGCAATTATTTTAATTACTTTACACTGATGATAGGAAGTGCACAGGTCTCATCAATGTTTTCTAAATCATTAAATTACTTATCAAAATTTCTTTTTCCTTTAAGGTTCCAGGAACTTTTAGCATTCTAGCACTAAGTTACTTCTGCTAATCAATCATCATTCCGATAAGCGGTATATAATTTATTTAGACTAAAGCAGATTGATCACTAGGCAGCAACTAGGACTATCGGCTCAATTTTTTAAAAAAGACAGGCTAGCATAGTCATGAAGTAGCTTTCTCTTGAAAAAAATTTATTTATATTTTCTAATGTTCCCATGCCAACAAGATACCGCAGCACGAGAAGTGGAGAAAATCTTTTAGACTGTACCATATGTATAGATTCACTTAAACAAGATTATGTCCTTCGTCTCGATTCTTGAGAAAGTCCAAAACTCTAACGCTATCTTAGTTAACCAATGGAAGGATAATTTTTGGAAACTGTAGTCATTTTGACGAGAACTACAAACATCGTCGACCCAAAATCTCTCTTAAGATGCGCCTACTCGCGACTGTACAAACAAAACGATAAATATAACTAACTTTCGATCGTATATTTTCGATGCGGGTGAATCAAATTTGTTAAATTACCTTGAATATGTGTGTGTACGTAAGTATACCGCAATTACTTAACTAATTTGAGAATTGTGTTAACCTTTTTTTTGAATTTATTTAAGTATTTTATCGTTCGGTTTTCGTAAACATTTTTGAAAAACATCTTAAAGTGTGTAACAGACCGTAACTGATTCATTTTAATACATATGCCATGTAATTCTTCAGAGAATGTTAAAATAATTAAGATGAACGCTTAATTCAGGCAACTTTTAAGAGAAATCTAGAAGCCACTTTCCCTTAAGACTTTCTTGCTCTAAATATTGGAAAAGAAGAAGCATCCAGGACAACAATCAAGTTAGATTTAGAGGAATTAAATTTGTCGACTCTAGATTGAATACTGAGGTTGTCTGTCGAAATTCGGTGAAATGTTTAAAGGGAAATAATAAGGAGTAAAAAAAAAGCAGATTTTGTAATAAATTTATGAATACTATGAAGAAGCGCGTAGTCCCAATCGCGTAAATAGTAACATGATGACGATTTTATAATATATTTATGGAGTCCACGGAGCAGCACTTAGTCTCGATCATATAAATAGAAGCACAGCCACGTGCCACCATCATGAGGGGACCGTTGTGCACACTCTGAAACTAAAGAATGTTATCGATTGCGGCGACGTCCACCTGCCGATAGAGATCGTTGCCATCTTGTATTTTAAAATAATAGTAATAAGTATCGACACGAATATCGGATCAGCGGTTATGCCATATGTATGAAATTAACTTAAACCCCGCTATAGATCGGAGCTTTCTACCAGTATTATAATCTTTGCTCCACCTAATGCGGAAACGTATGTGGATTACACAAACGTTACGATAATCAAAAACATGACACCAAGAAAACGAAAAGATTCGCTTAAATTATTTCCGTCATTTTAATTCTAACTCTCTGTTTTGATTATTAAACGCAATTTTTATTTTTAGTTTGATCGCTTACGTGCTTTCGACCGCATAAGCTGTTGCCGTTGGTCAACCACTTGTAAATAAAAAATTGACGTAAACTATAAAAATCGTGCATACAAGACTTGAAAAAGCAGCCGCCCGTTGTTATCATTAATTGATAAGAAATTCTTTATAGGCGCTTGAAATTCACTTAATTAGATTGCAATAATAACAATAATAAACAATTTTTTGTTTATTTAACATACATAAACAAAGACTACTTCATCATACCACTACAGAATTGATCCAAGATATCGACCATGTATCGTTGCGTTCATAAGGTGCATCTTGCATATGAAGTCTTTCGAATCACATTTTTACACGGTTTGGTAGCACTTTGCAAGTAGCTGTCGAAATCAAAAATATTTTAATATTTGCGAACATGCCCTTCATTTATTTATTTGTGTTTCTACACTATACCCTTGCGATATAGCTTATATTAAGTTATCGTATGCAACAAGCAGAAGGGCTTAAGATGGAGCCACCTTTTATTATACCAATCGATTCAGAATCATAGTCTACTAAATTGATCTAAATCTGTCCGTCTATCTGTCTGATGTTTATCGATCTAAATTTGGGTTCAAGCTACAGGTCGTAATTTTTCAGATACTTCGATGAAATTTCGTATAGTGAAAATGGTCCGGATCGGTCAACTTTTTCGACCATTCCCCATATAACGTCCTCTTCTGAAAAGTTGTTATAAGGAAAAAATTGTGATTTTCAAAATTTTTCCGGCTGAGGCATTTTTTGAACCCCCTCTCTTAGACGGAAAACCAAAGCTCAAACGACAAAAACATATGCAAAAGGTATGCTTTTCAATGCTTCATGAAGAAAATTATATCTTAATAGTAATTTAACATAAAAACTTAAAGGTACCAAATTTGAACCTTCTCGGCCTGTTTTTTGGATCCTACACTAAAAAGGATTTTCATGGAAATTGAAACTTTGTTGAGCAGAGAGGTCTAAGTTTTAATATGTGGTGATGAAAATTGACTCGTAACAGTAATTTCATACAAAAATGAGCTCTACAAAATTTGGACTATCTACGCCCTTTTTGGGTTTTTGCCCTATGTAAGAATTAAAATTGTATTACATTAGGTGGTGTTGTGGACCCGATTTCCCATAAATACGTACTTGAAAAATTTGCTTTTATACAGAAGCAAGATAAAATCTTTGTGTTCTATAATAAAAATAAAACTTGTGTTAGTAGTAGTGTTATGTTGTGTAGGGTATTTAAAGGTCGGCCTTGCCCGACTACAATGTTCTACTTGTTTTTTAATGAGCAAAGTTTTTTTTATTTTAACACTATAATTTTCTTAGTTCTGACCTTTTTTGGTCCCTACACCACTTTTTATGTTTGCGCGGTTGCATATAACACTTTCCCCATTGCTGAAAAGCATATCTGTCCGTCCGCTTGTCTTGCTTTCTTATGTTTAACTTATTGATGCACAATTTTTGAGATATTTTGATGACATTTGGTACACCGATATGTTTTAACTCATGGACTAATGCTATTATCGCGGAGCGGATCACTTCCCGTACAAAGCCTGATCTTGAAAAGAATAATTGTATGAATGAAATATTTAACCAAAAATCTAACAATTTGAAGTCTTATAAAAAAAACAAGAAGCAAACTAAACATTTACTTTTTGCTAATTGTGAATCCGTCCTTTTTAACCCGGTTTATTTTTCTGCATAGCGTGTGAGATGGCAAACTCGAAGGTTAAGCGAAGAAAACCTTGGTCTGTAAACAAAGTTTGACGCTAAGATTAGAAGGGAAAAAAAGCGAACTCTTTATCTCTAACGTTGTATTTTTGCGAGATGCGCCTGTGGCCTTCGTCTATACGTGCGGCGACGCCAAACTTGACGCATTCGCACGCCCTATCTACCGAAAATCAAATATTCATGTAGCACTAGACGCTTGTTACGTAAACTAGATGCCTGTTACAAAATTAAATGTTCAAATACTCACAATGCTAGAAAAAAGGCGGTACGTTAAGAAAAGAAGCTAAGCAATAGCTTCACCTTCACTTCAATGTATATATAGATAGATAGAACTTGGCAGGGATTGGGATGCCAATATAATTTTTCATATTTGCTAGCGCTGTAATGTAGAAAAAGCGGTCTAAAAGAGTATAATGAAAAGAATAATTGATTGTAAGCGCAAATGCTGATGAGAGACACGATGACGATATTTGCAAATTGCGTACATTTCCGTAACGAACATGAAGGTTTTGTGTACGCGATTCTCTTACTTTGCAAAAGAAGATCAGTGACTTACCCAATCATTAAATCCTAATTTCGCCAACTCTTGTTGGGAGGTTTGAAATTCAGATTTTAGGTGTAATTTGGCAACATCTGGAAAGAGTTACGGTAAAGTAATAAAACGGCTTTTTGCAAGAAATGAAGAGAGAGAAGATTTACTTACCGTCGTTTAAAACTTGTTGCAGAAATATTCGGAGTTCAAGCGTCTCAGTTACTAATGCTCGACAAACTGCTTTATAATGCTCTTCAGGTACAATGGGTTTAATGTGGTTAGCACAGGCCTGTTTGGACGATACGAAAAATACATTTATTTTGTACAGCAGAAATATATATAAAAAGTGAAGTAGTAGTAGTGAAATAAATTAATATATGCCAGAGTTTTTCTATTCTAAATTATAAAATGGTGGCAAATGAGCTCTGTCTTAGAATTGCAACTGCATATAGTTCAACTATTAGAATTATGCTCGATGGCCTTAAAGTGGTGCTTATGTTGGGCAAGAATTTTTTAAGCAAAATAATAGATATGGGCGAGAAAAGGCAAGATTATGGCAACGAGAATTTGCTTAAGTTTTACAACCTTATTTAGGTGTTGGGTATAAAATGTGCTCCTATAGCACACTTCCCTGCCTTCCACCGCCGAAAGATATGCTTAGAGGAAATCGTGACATTCCATTTCAACAGGAATCTGTTTCGGAATAACAACCCCATTTAAAAGTGTTCCTTCTTTTCTATTTCTTCATTTATCTAAAATTAGCGCAAAACATGAATTAAAACCATACTCTTGTTATATAATTTACTTTTGTAAAATGGAAAGCATTAAATTGCAAATTATGACGTATATATCTGGAAATAACATAACATTTTTTTTCTTAATGACCTATTATTCAATATAATATTTACATATTTTAATGACCTCATAAGTATATGGATAATGATCTGTTAATTATGATTAACAGACTGAACAAAGCTCTCCTTCTTTTCGCGGAACATTGACCTCACGATTTTCATATATATATATATATGTATTATTTTATGACTATAAGGAATTAAAAATTCAATGGAATGCTGCATGAAATTATGTTAATAACGCTGTCGAACGATCTACTTCAAGAATTGAATATTAGATAAGTTCTTCAGATTTGTTATTGTTTTAATTTTAATATTGAAATAATTTGAAACGTTTACGTAACCGCAAGTAATAGCAGAATGTTATTGGTGATCTATCTTGTTTTGTGGTCATAATATAAGATGAGAATGTGAAAAATCATACATTGTTTTAAATAAATATTTACATACGTGCACATGCCTATTGTCACTAATCTTATATGGGAAAAACAATTATTTAATCACATGGTGTAATTTTTCAATTCTAAGATTGAGTTGTTTTAAAACCCATCCAGAGATATATCAAGTTTAGCATTTTGTACAAATAGCAGATGTACGAGAGATTTTACAAAGTGTAGAGAATTTTCATAAAAGGCGCACATTTTTATACCCATTGACGGAAAGCCATGCCTACTGGCAGCCGTATGAAGCCTTGCTTGCGCAGAATGGGAACTGGGAATGGGAATTGTTTCTGATATAAAAGTAGACAACTTAAAATTGTCATATATATTATTTATTTATTTATTTTTTTTATTACACACTTTTTTTAATTGCCTGTAAGCTCTTGAAAGTGACGTTCAGTTTCCGAGGAGATGCGTAATCGATAAAAAATAAGTCTGCTCACCAACAATATCTGGTATTTCGATTTTTTTAAACTCTATGCCTTAGGACTACGAAAACAAGTCGAGTCGAATTTTCCAATTATCGAACAATTATAAAGACCATCACGTGATGTTTTATCGACATCAGCAAGTTGAAGACATAACATCGAAAGAAAAGCAATGAAACCCTGATTCGATTTATATACGTTCGTCAATTCGCTTGCTTGCTTTGCTTGTTTTTATTATTTCAACTGCTTTTGTTTTTCTGCATCAATGCATTAATTTCTCTATGAAAGATTAGAACATATTTCCGAGACACCTATCAAGCGATCAAATGACGATTGTGCGGCAATATCAAGTATGTGCGCACGTCGTCAAGACAGTCGCACTTGAAAATTAATAATTTGCACTTAAATTTCCCCGACAAACGCTTTAGGAAATCTCTACTATCATCCAAATAAGCAAATGACTGTGTAAACTATATAACAAGAATCAATGTCAAGATTATGCCAGCCATTGTAGGTATGCATGGCAGTTGCTTTTTGTTTTTGCGCCACACCGTTTTTGTCTGGAAGGCTTGTTATTTAAAGCTAATACCGCAGTTATAGCTTAATTTTCACTATATCATTCATGTGTACACTGATTCCTATTTTTTTTTCTCTTTTCTGCCTCTAGTTTACATGTTCATCATCTTTTAAACCGTTCGTTAAAAGCATTTTGTGGTTTATTCAGCAGACTATGGAATAACAAGAACATTCATCATTTAAAAAAAAAAAAATTAAAAAAAACTGAAGAAATAGAAAAGGAAAAAGTAGGAAGGGCCTGTCTTTTGACGCCTTCGCTGAAATTTCTAATACCTACTGCACTTCTCATCCGAAAAAACGTTATACTTTTCATATTTTCTTGATTTGAAATCCAGTCTTCTTGTTTAGGGAAGCGAACCGAACCTTGCATTTCCATCATCACAATTTTGTGAAAATGTTTTTGTTGATTGTGACCGTGTTAATTCGAAGCGTGTTAAGCGTCCTTCCTTTACGAACCTAGCACAATTTGTAAAACCGAATACGAGTTTCAGGTTGCTCTGCCGACACTATATAAGGTGTTTCCAAGTTGACTTTATTTCGCTTTTCATTAAAGTGGCCAGGGCAAGTGCGCTTCTTGCAAATTGAATTAAAACGATATTTGCGATTACTGATTTAAAATTTTTGCGATTCTACGAGGGATACAGGTACGCATACGAATGAAGTCATCAAGGCTACGATGATTAATTTTATATATTTTTTTATCGTAAGAGTTACTCTCGATGCTGCGCGAAGAGGGATTTACAACAGAACAATTCTTATCCGCAAGCTGGATTTTAATCACATTCTGCCATACCATTTATATGATAGGGAAGGAGGCATTGGAGTTCTCGTAAAATTTATGAGTTCATAGTGAAGAAGCGGCGGCATTTTCAAATTCGCACCATTTATCAGTTGTCAATGCACAGAGATTATTGCGAGAACATTTTTCCAAGTAAAGTGAAAAATAGTGTTGGTTCGGCCATCGCAGTGAACGAATGCCTTATCGAACAATGTTGATTAATTTTTTTTTTGATCTGAAATTGAAATGATGTTATGGAGAAAGTGTTCATGAAGAGGGACCGCGCCACACACCTCAAACCATAAACAATTACATTATTGTTTTCAAATAATCTCTCCGCTTGAAAGGCTATATTATTGTACTCGTCCAATGAGAAATTTTAGGTCGAAGTAACAACAAAGGTTTAAAGAAAAATATTGGCAACCAAAAGCTGACTCTAGCTTTTATCGTCAATTACACTCGTGGCAATGGACAAACCCGCTAAAAAGTACCAATCCTTCTATTAGCGATTTACAATTTGTAAAAGACATCAAAGTTCTCAATTTACTACCGATACTCTCGGTAGGGTTATTGTATAAAAAGTGGTTTGCACGATTTTTGAATTACGAACTTTCTATCTCGCGGGTATCCGCAATCTGTACTATAAGAGGAAAACGCCGTAGATAGTAACGGTGCGAGTGCTTTGTAAATGAGAAAGAAAACCTGTCCACCTAACAGATATCTTTAAATTTTTTTTAATAATGCATATTCGTATGGCAAATACTTGTACGGGACACTCCCACTGGGACGTTCATGGAACTTTTTTGTTATTTAGGTATTTAAATGTTAGACACAAGAGCAAACCGACAACAATTCTGCTCAAAACTGCTTTAAACAACATTAAATTTATAATTAATGCAATTTATTACACGAGTTGATCGACTGGTAAGCAAGTTAGATCGGTAGACAGGGAGGCAGCAGGTACGCTAAGCATCAATGTACGGAACATTGACTTTAAATCATAGACTGTTTGTGTAAAATTTAGGCCAAATGAATGCATAACGAAATAAAGAACGTAACAATGAAAAAGAAAAAATCTCATTACAATCTATTGAACACAAACTGTGAGAAAGATTTGCTCTAAACGTAATGGCAACCACCGAATAGAAAAACAACGGAATAAAATAGTTCTATATTTCTGTGAAACGATGAAAATATTTTATGTAAGCAGATGTAGATGCAGACGTAGATGTAGATGATGATGATGGTAATGGAGGAATGGGCGAGCCGTACGTTAAATCAATTTTCATGCGATTGTTTGTGTTTTAATGTTTTTTTTTTAATAAGATCAGGTTGCATAACGTTTAAATGTAGTTGCTTTCATTGTTATTGATTCAAGCAAACTGAAGTTTGAACGCGTGAAATGTTAAAGTTAAAACGTTATAGATATTATATGTAAACTGGCAGAATAGGGTAATCGTTGATACATATACTTATTTATGCTTACCTTCAGCACAAAATCAAATTCTTTGGTTTCATTATATTTTTCATTTTCAGTCTCGTCGTCCCAACGTTTGTAGCCCTCGTCAATGCCTTCGTCAATGCAATCGTCATCGTTTTCTGAAAATGATATAAAAAATAATTCTTATTAGTCATTATTGTTTTTGCGATGAATAAAAGAAATAATGAAAGCCTAACGATGCCAAATATCCGTAGCACGGCTTTACGTTTATGTTAAAAGAGTGGTATTTCATCTATTTTCCAGAGGTGTAAGATTGACTGGTCTATTTACTTCAGCTGCGGAGTAAACTGACAGGAACTTAACGTTTGTGCCACGGTTGCCTTTCTTTTCGTGGAAAACTACTATTATGCTAAGCGTAGGAAAATCCGTGTGTTAAGTTGTGTAGGTATAAATCAGTGATCCGGGATTCTAACTGTTAGATCTGTGCGTGCTAAAACTATTTTGGAAAACCCAGCGACGAAAACAAGCTAAAACGTTTATATCTTTAAAAATAAAACAAGTCATAAGAATTGTATCGTCTAAGTATTATCGAAGAAACTACTACCGAAAAAATGTGAAAATAATGTACAGAAACCAATCAGTCCGTATTACCACGTTTGGAATACAAGAAATTTTGTGATCCAAAATCTTGTGTAATAAATGAGCCACAATAAGCTGAAAGATCAATTGAAACTAATGTCAAGTTTTAAAGAGAGTTCAAGGCAGTTTACCAACCACAATTTGTTGGCATCTATGTAAAAAATTTATTTTGTCATCAGTTTCCGATCTCCAGTATACAAAAGACTTTTTCTTCAAAGGCAACGTTTCCTTATTTTGTTCATATTCTTATAAGATATTAGACAACAATCCCTAATATTGATTTTATTTTATTGATTTATGTTGGAACCGGCGCTTAGAGTGCCGTCTCGTTCTTGAAAATGCCTTTTGATAATCAACCAAAACAATGGTGTAATCGACACCATTGCCATTAAGCCATAAAGTTGAAGTTGAATAAATTTGCAGTGCTATAGCTACAGTTTTTCTACAAATTCCAAATGCCAAACAATAAATATATACAAAACATGTAAAAATATTCAATATATATATATATACATACATATATATATATATATATAAACTGGTTGCACATTGTGTTGGCAAAAAAGGCCTTAACTTTATATTCCACTATGATGAGAATATTTGTATAAAGAGGAAAAATAATCGATAGAATTACAGCGCTATGATTAGGGTAAGTTGTAGCGTAATGCTTGAAAGTAGCGGTGCTGGTCACAATTTAGAACAGCCAGCTGATAAATCGATAAAATTATAGAACGTACTGTGTGGTTCAAAATAACACTTTTTGGCATTATGGTCAGTCGAAGCAAATCTTTATGATAAGTAGCTATTTATAAAAAGAAAAACAAAATGAATTTCTTCAAAGTACGGTGGGCACCACTGTAGTATGTATTAGATATGTTCAAATCATTAGTTAGAGATTAGGTAGAGTTTTCAATAAAGCCGTTAGACTTAAATACTAGTAATAATATAATAATATTAATGATAACGTAGACAATAAAAATGTTAATGGGTTCAAATGTAGTAATACTTTTCCATTTATGTCGCACGATTTTACTTAAATGAACGCTTCTTTGTTAGTTTATCATCATCCTGGCTGAAATTTCATAGCAAGATTTTTATCATTTCCATTGAAAAAGACCTCTTCTGTATGGCCGCAATAATGCGCAAATACCTTCATTCCCGACAATTCTAAGTTTTAAGTCGCGTTTTAGCCATGTCCGCTTTCAAAGTTCACGTATGACTATCCAACAACGGAGGAACACGTATGTAGTGAACACTTAGTTTCACCCTCAGACACCGTCTCGCAGTGTCACCATATATCGAAGTTGCTTGGGCTGAAGGCCGGCTAAGCTATTTGCAGTTACGCTCTCCTATCATCCCGGATAGATTAACATTTTTCTTCTTATTCCATCCCCTTTTCTGCATCCCCCGTCCTGCATTACACAGTGATAGGCAGAAAGAAAAGGAAGTGGGGAAAGAGAATGATGTACGGAAGTGACCGCAGACTAGTGGGTCTGTGTGCCCAATCGGTAAGTATTATGCCTTTACCGACTGGCCACTCACTCTATCGCAGCGAGATTATTGATTTGTTGGTGTCAGCTTTTACCCACCTGGCCACTCATAGGACAAGATGAACATAAAAAACAAGAAACAGATTGACAAATATTATATTTAATCTGGTCTCTACGCCATAATTATATGGTCTTAGAGCCATTTTCTTTGATGATTGATGTGAGAATAACGATAAACAAAACGGGGATATCATCTGAATATTCAAGCTAAAGAGCATTATATTTTTTCCTTTTTGTTTAATTCTTTTGTTTTATACTTTCTTATATACTCACCCTCGCTCGTCATATGCGTAATAAGTTCTTCCAATTCTTGGGACATTTGACATTGTTCGTCTTCCTGCAAATTGTAATCCAAAGCGGTGTAAACGACAAGCGCAACTTTACGTAGAATCTGTAAAAGTAAAAATAATCTATTAATAGTTGAAATACTTAGTTGAGGTGTGTAGCGAACGCGAATAAGAAAACTTTCTATTCATTTGTTAATGCTGCGCTGCGTGACTAGGACGTTTCCCTCTTGAAGTATATTTGCAATGCATGATAATGATTTTCCATTACTTTTCTCAATCAACTTGTTGCTTAAACATTCCGTTCGTCAAAGGTATGAATAAATACAATATAAATGCCAAAGTATTCACTTTCATCTGAGGGTGTGTGCATGTTATTATGCATTTTCACATAAGTTAATTAACTGCTCTTTGCTGTAAGGTTTATTTTTACGATTCATCTTATAGTAAAGTTTAATACTGTGTCTGTTTGTTTATTGCAGGAGGGGGGAAAAAGAAAAAGTAAAAAGTCATCCTGGCCTTTCTCAATCGTTAGCGGGGGGTGGAGGCTAATTGCATGTTGCGAGTTTTCATTAATTTTTTTTCCTTTTTTTTTTTCTTTCATTAAGTTGCTTAAGTATAGCCTTTTAAAAAAAAGGGAACCTTTGCCTGATTGTTTTATGTCATGACTCATTTGCAAGTATAAACACAATAAAATATATATACGTACACATGCATGTGTCGTCTGTTGTGGCCAACAATCCAGACAAAATTAACGAAAAAAAAATACGGTTAACTTTCCTAGAAGGAGAACTTCAAGACAACAATAACGTATAGTTTAATAAAAAGTACTCTTTGTTGTTGGAAAAAAAAAGCATGTGATTGCGAAGTTTCCAAATAGAGCGTGAGGTCGAACTGAAAGGTTAAATCATGTTAAAAGCAACTTCCTTAGAAAACTTTTGTGTTGAGTTTAGTAACAGTTTAGCACGAAAGAAGCATTAAAAGCAGACAACAGCAGTATGGATAATGGATTTTTGAATAACAATATTACTAGGAATTCATCCATGCTGTTAACTTATAAATAGATACATGCAGTTCTAAATTTATGTCACACAATGTCAGGAAAATATCGAGATTTAAAGATGAAAGAATTACTCTCAGATTCTTTTGCTTTTTTTTTTTTAATTACCATCGTTTTTAGTCTCAAGAAACATTTAACATGCATATTTAGATGATTGTATACTTAAACACTTTAGTTGAAAATCTCGGGAATTTTCCAAAATGTTATAGGCCCAATTTAAAAAGTTGATATGCGACCAAGGCTTGACTAGTCTTCTTATACCGAATGGTGACGAAAGATTCACTTTCTCAAAACGCTCGCAACACCCACAAGGACGATTAAGAATTCATATACACTATATACATTTTTAATCAGTATCAACATCTAAATCAATGTAAGCATGACGGTTGGTTCGGCTTTAAATTTGTCGAAAGAAGCTTTCGAAGTTGGTACGACAACAAATGCATCAAAATCCACGCCTACAGTAAAACGCAAACTGAGAATTCTTGTATTTTCCAAACATTCGCTATAAGCAGCGATAAAAACTAGCGCGTATATTCGTTGATAGGAACACACCCTAATTATGTAAGCATGGAAAAAATCGCCAATCCCCATGCCCATCTATAAAAAATCGAAATTTCGTTCTTTCAAAAGAGCCTCAGAATCTTTGTAAAGCGCGTATATATACTTTTGGTTATTATTAAATTCTAAGTGAATCTAGACGTGTCTGTTCGTCGATGTGTGCGTTTGCGCGCCAGTCTCTGTAAAAATCAAGACATTATTACATCTGGCAAAACCAATAGATCAAATTGATAAAGGGACGCTATGGACATTCCCGGTTTATGTTTTTTGCCCATTACTCAAACTATTATATAACAGCAGATACAACGATAGAAATTTTCACTTTTATTCAATTCTTGATCCTGCAATGCAAAACAAAAATATACAAAATGACAAAAATGACAAAAATGGCAAAAAACGAATATTACAAAACATTCAGCCGCAATGGAATATAGTTTCCTTACTTGTTTTATTTTACATCCCTTACGTCTGAATCTTCGCACACACGACTGTCTTATTTTATCAATGTCGCAGAACAGGCTCCGTTGGAAATGCAGAACTTATGATAAACCCCTCTTTCGATATTCTCAGGTAAAAAAAAAGTCACTCGACCATTGCAAAAGACCATTTGACAGAGAATTCTGAAAATCTAGCTTGCAATTGCACTGACATAAAAACCAATTGCTTTTGGCATATTCATTGTTTGCCCAACAGAGTACACGTAGGGGTTTAAATATCACTATTATTACCACTACCGCTATTAGTTGTAGGAATTAGAGCATGATCATTGTAGAAGATCAACAGACAATAACGCGCTTATATTCTTAAGCAATGCGATAAGATAATCGATTAAATTAATTTAAACTATTCTAACGGTAACAGATTGTAACACAATAAGTGCTTTCTCGCCATTTTCCTCTGGCCCGTTTTATCTTGGTGAGGTGAGAAAAAGAAAAAATACTCTTAGAAAACACTTTGAAAACAAGGGGCCTTCAAGCACTATATAACTTGCATAAACTAAACTCGAGGAAAAAGTTATGCATGCAAGAATAACAAGACTGTGGAATGTACCACTGTGGAAAATAATGTAATCACGAATATTATAGACTTAAAGTGTGAAGAGTCTCTTACCATATATTTAATATGTGGTATGTGTGCGCTCAGTAATTGAAAAGTTCGCAGATTAACGTTTATAGAACAATAACTGTCGTGATTATTTTCAACTTGATCTGTCAATTCGCAGGTATTAAAAACACATAAGTGCTACTGTTAGGAAGCAAAAATTAAACTAAATGTTTCGTAATAAATTAATGAAGTTTTTTTTATTAAAAAAAGGCACTAAGCAACTGGACGAAATTGCAGTTTCGATCCAATGATCGTACTAACCTAGAAGAAGACCTCCGTCCGGAATGTTCAAAAACGACGCCGGGTGAGCAAATCGTTAATTGTCTACATGGTATGCCCACGATTGTTAAGCAGACGGCTTTGAGAAAAATTGCTTAAGCGACCAACACTCAAGTGCATGGGACCTTCATATGTTGCAGGCGAACTTGGCTGCAGCTTTCAATGTTTGGTTTATTTCTCTTGCTAGGAGTAAAAAAAACTACTGGTAAACTCATCGCGTGTAAAACGTGTTTCCTTCTATAGGATTTCGCTTAGCTTCGAAATCTTTTTAATATGTCGTTTCTTAAAAACGCCGTTGTGTCGACATTTCTTTGAATTTCTAAAGAGTTTCAAAAAATTGTTAAAGTATTTATGAACGTTTTCATCTTCCATACCCACTGTTTTCCTAGTTGGTCCAGTTCTTTCCGTTCGAAAATTTTCCCTCAATTTGTCTCCCATCTCTTTGAAAGTTACGCTATGTCCGATGAATTTTCATTTAGATAGCGTTGTAAACCGCATAATGAACCAGATAAGAGTATGAAAATGACAAATATTGAATTTTTTCGTTAGTTCATTATAATTTAAGAATAGTCAAATCTGAACCAATTTGTAGTTGGCGCCAAAGCTTTTCTATCTAATGAGACAAGTTGAAGGGCGGCTGGAAAATCACTTTAAATATAGAAAAAATGAGTTCGATAATCGATCGAAATGACGTGTTAAGTCCAAAAGGATTGTGTAATGAATTCTTCTTCTCAATTCTATGAACTTTTCAATCAATTGACAATAACAGAATAATGTTATGTAGAATGGCCTAAGAAACCAAACTATAATGCGGTGATTTCTTATTTCGTCTTCATGATAAATGAAAAATTATATAAGAAGCCGCATAAACCTACACACGCTTATCCATTCATATACTTTATATATTAAAACGTACAGAGTATAGCTATTTTAGATCCCAGCTGACCGTCATCAACATGCAATTGTTTCACGTTGCCAGCTGGCGTTTCACATTGTTGAGTAAACACATTCGTTATCATTTACCGCTTTTTTTCGCATGCATTTTTTTTTTTTAATTAATTTTAAGAATTGATGAGATAACCCATGCATTCATACATATGCACGTAAACCATACGTAACATTTTAGCTAAACTCATATTATTCGAATTATTCCAATATTCTATAATCGTATAAAGCAACGAAATGAAAACTGTGCAGACATTTGCTCTGCTAAGGCCTGATAAATAAACCTCGATATCGCTGCGTTTTATTATTTGTTAAATGCAGGCATTCATTCGACATTAACACAATGACAGTGATTTCCACCTTTGAACACTTTTTTTTATATAGAAGTCTATTTTTAATGTCATCTCGTTTTGCTGATCGTAACGATGAACTACAAAATGTGACAAGAACTAATCATCGAGAAGTGATTATATTGTATTTTTAATAAATAAATCTCAGGGCTAAGAAAAATATTATTAACACATCAAGCTGAATGAAGTCTTTGATCCTTAATTGTCGCACTCAACTGACATATTTACAAGTAATAAGCAGTAATGCGATTTATATAAATTCCGGATGAATTCATTGTGCATAGTGGTACCACTTACTTTTTACTTAAAAAAATATTCCGTTATTTATTACAGTAACTCTCGAAATTTCAATTTGGCAAACATGGGACAGTGGCAATCACTCTAATTACTTCCAAAATCTTTACAAACTACACTTTGGACACAACTAGTGAATATGATTTAAAGCTACGCTTTTTATAAAGACCTCTGAAGATTATAAATACAAAAATCACCAGTGAATGATTTTCAATTCGTCAATTGCTTAATAATACGACAATTTTTAAGTGAAAGTTCTAAAGCCATGAACTGATTGCATCCAGGAGTCAAGCATTTCTGCAACAAATACGTGTCTGTGTTTGTGTTCAATATTGATAGATCATTAGGGAATGTGCATGTCCTATCTCAATTTTATCCAAAGGCATCGCTATTTCCTTCACAAAGTCATACTTAGCGATGGCATTCATTTTTAACGCGCTTAGCCAAGGCGGTAGTCCGAAACCTTTTACTCCTAGTTTACAATTTGATTTAAGCCTGGCGTCTTTTTTCAGTGAACTTATTACTGATCACTTTTGGAAGAATTTGTTTCCGCAGTAGCGTTAGAAAGATGGTAAAATGTCAGACAACCAAGCTTTTAAAAACTAAGCGGATTGAGATGCGTCCGTAACGGAAATTCTTAATTTATCCTTTCAGGTGACATAGTAATTATTTCGTTCTTGGAGAGCAAATAGGCAGCAAATCCTGCAAAAGACGAGTTGTATTTTTGATTACGCAATCATACAGATATTATTATTTTCATTAATATAGCCAGAGGAAGAAAGACTTAAGACTTAAGTCTTAAAGCACTAGCATCTAGGGTTATCGACCTCATTGAAAACTCTACCTCACTTGAGTTGTTAGGCGTGATACTTTTTGCCTACTCGGCCGCTCAAGTGGTTAGCTATACAAAAATGAATTTAAAAGATTCGTTATTTGCGAACTAAATGATCTAATCGTATCCGCCGTTAACATGATGAATTTCCCCTCTGAATACTAACGCTAGAGTTTCGCCTTCATAGCTAAAATATAAATTTGTCTTTTAGTAGAAAGGATCTTTTTAAGACGCCACAAATAGACAAATATATCTCTGTATTGAATATCGAGAATGCAAGTGTAATTCATGTACGGGGTTTATAACAAACTTCTTCCCCATTGGTTTTTCTGTAAATAACGCGGTTGTTGTCGCTTCTATTCGAGGGTTTCGCCCTAGTAAAGAGGTGAACCCTAGTGGTACCTTTATAAGCATGTTTTTTTCCTTTTCTATGGGCAAAATTTTTTCTGCCAAGAAATTTAATCTGGTCTTCAGGACCATTGTACTGAACTGAGGAACTTACTTCTCGTTGTTGGATTTCAGCATTAGCCACGAGAAAAGGACAATTCTCCTTTAACTTAATAGGACTAGTAAATTTTTTCTCGATGGAGTTTTTGCAGGTCATAGAGTGTGGGATATTGTGGAATTTTAAAATAGCTTCCAACTCATTCATTTGTGACCTAAATATTTTTAAATTCGCACCTACGAACCTGCAATCTCTTCACATGTCACCGGTGATTGTAATGTTTTTAAACTACTTGCTTGTTTTCGTAGGGAAAGACCGTAGTCTGTTAAGTTCGTAATAGTGTTCGTAATCGTCAAAAGTGAGCCTTTGAACCCGTATAAACATATTTCTGTAAGCTACTGGCTGGTTATTCTATCCTTTCTAATCAATCATTAGTGGCTATATGGTTAAATGTTCAGTCACTTTGACACACTTAACTAATATGTCGAATTGTAAATTTAATGGGTTATGGGTACCTAAGATTCGTCTTATGATAAGCTTATCTTTCTTATACGAATTTTGCTATCTATTATTAGTTACGATCCGCAAAGCTTTAAAATGTTTGCACAACTGTTTTTTCACTGTGTTATGAGTTTCATGCCGAACATTCACAACGTATTCCCAAACGGCAAACAAACAAGTATTATGAGCGTAATGGCGAAGTCTTATGTTCGTATTACAATTAAACATTATCTCTGCTTGAGATGTTTGTCAAAGTTATGCTGTTTTCAGTGCACACACATGCACATACATGAGTTCCTTTTAACTCACTTCATTTCCATGATTGGTTATATGGCATTGCAAGAAATGATATTTTTTTACACTGATGTTTACAATAAGATGATATATCGCCAAGAATTAACAGAACGTAAATAGAAGAAAAGGAAGAGCCCTTTTGCGAATTGTAATAAAAACCGCATCAAAACGAGTAAATTAAATATGCCTGCCACCGAATCATTGAAGCGTTTAACAAGCGCGGCAGCCTTATGCAGAGGGCTTGTTTCCAAAAAAATGGAAATGAAAAGTAAGAATACTTATAAGATGCTTCTTTTTTACAGCCTGACAAAGACTTAGTAGGCGCTACTGCTGAGGAATAAATAAGCCGAAAAACATTGATAAAACTAGCCTGTAAATCGGGCGCAGAAGCTAAAAAACTACATATATATCAGAATTTTTGAAAATCCTTTTTTTTAATTAATATAAAAAAATCCTTAACATTATTTGGGAAAACAAACTCTCCTTTCCTTAACAATATATAAATAGATAACAATTCTGCACTGCAAAAAGAGACGAACAATGAATCTGCCACAATTTTTTATGCTCACCCTTTTGGGTTCGACAACAATATTCTATTTAATAGTGAGAGAAGCTTCCAGTTATTGGAAATATCGTGGTATACTGCATGCTAAACCCAAGTATGGTAAGCTGCATATAGCTGATGTCTTGCGACGTTTATATACCCGTTATGGTGGACAAGCACCACTTATCGGTTTTATCGCTACAACCGATAGTATTAATGTTGGATCTTGATGCTTATACAAGCTTACTTATATGCCAAAGATTTCATGTACAAAATTGATACTATTTGGGATTATTTCACTGTCGTCACTTGTCCTACGTTAGCTGGTAAACCAAAATTATTTTTTATATAAGCATGTCGTGGCGATCGCTTAGATCCGGGCATCAAACTACAAAAGACTGAAACGGATGGCGAGAGCTTCCCAATATCCTATACGAATTATAAAATACCCATATATACTGATTTTCTTATATGCTATTCCACAATACCGGGTAAGTCTTTCTTATTATTGAACAATGAATTGATGCAATAAATATATTGTTAATCAAAAAAAAAAAAGGTTTCTATTCTTGGCGCAACACTTCCAATGGTTCACGGTTTATGCAATCTTTGGTAGAAGAGTCGAATGCGCATGGCAAGGAATATGATATTTCAACTTTGCTGATATTTGTCAATCAACGCGTTGCCATGGATTATAAATATTATACGTATCAAAATTCAATTACTTTTCAATAAAGAATGTAAATTCTTGACCATTGCACCTAAGCATGCCAGTCTGCCCGTCTGCCCAGTTATTTAATGAAGCTATCGGCAACAAATTTGCAAAAGAATTTGAAAAAAAGGAAGATAGATAAATTAAAATATCTTCACAGATTTGTGGAGGCAAGTTCGATTGTTTGAATGAATGTAGCTTTTCAAATTGAACTTTTGTTCAAATCACTTTTTTAGCAAACTTTTACATATTTAAGATTATTTTGCTGGTGTTGCTGGTTTCCCCCTTTTTTTTGTCTTGTTATTGTTTTAAGGATGGAAATAAAAAAATTTTGAAATTATTAAAAAGAAAAAAGGTTTGATTTAAAAGAGAGGATTTTTCACTGTTGGTGGTGTTGGTGGTAGTAGCAGAAGCAGTAGCAGCAGCAGCGGCAGCATGTGACTTTATTTCATTATGGCAGTACACTCACACACATCGCTATAACGTAGCAGACAAAAGTAATAGATTGTAACTAGTAGAAATGTTTTTGAAATGCAAGACTTTAGCTAGGATAGGCCTATTGATGTAAACGTTAAAATTATATTGAAATTCAAATTCAAAAATAAGACTTCAAGTAGTTCGTCTTGAGTAACCGTGTTCTATAGTACTCGTTTTCGCTATGTACCTGCAGACTTCATAAGTATCAGAAAAATATGGAAGATATATGGTAATCTTCGCTATACATCGTAGGAGGAGAATAAATTTGCTTACAGTATTTTATGTCATAAATCGTAAAGCAATTACTTCTAGAAAATTGAATTACACGCAAAATGAAATTTGAGTAATAAGGGCGCTTGAAGTGTAATCGCTTTTGCTTACTTTCTTTATCGCTATTTATTTCCTTTGTAGCTTACAAATTTTCGTTCTGGGCTCGGAACGTTATTACGAAATTGTCACGATCTCAATGATTTACATCCGATATAATACAAACGAAATGTCGAACGAGGATCGATAATATTTGTCGTGACAACACGAAGATATAATGGAAGCCGACGGCGAGCCTGCATCATTAACAAGAGCGGATGTTAGCAAGTTTAAAAAATTGCCAAATTCAAAAAAAATGAAAGCTTCTAAAAACGAACTCTCTACGATTAGTGCAAATTCAACGGAAATTGTGAAAGGCGACAAAGGTGTTAAAGCCGTTCAATTAAAGATCAACAAACTAAATAAAGGAGGCGTGGAAAAAGTTTCGAAATTTAATTTGAATATAGAGGAAACCCCAGGCGTCAACGGCGGCGACGATGTTGAACAGACCACCGGAGAAATTTATGAAAAAGCAAATAAAAAGGGTTCTCGCAAGCGGAATCAAGCTTCCCAAGTCGAAGAAGACGTACAGCTTGAAGACGCCGTCGAAAAACCTGCAACTGTCAGAGGTAAAATGCTTTAATATGTATAAAGTTTCCTTCAACCGTAGGTTTTCTTCTCTTTATTCATAAACATCTTGCAGTTTCCAGATCTAAAAAAGCTGCAATGGCGGTTCCTTCTAATCATGAAATTCCACAAAGCCCGTCTCCTAAAAAACGAAACGAAGTTCGAAGAAAATTCTTGAAGAAAATAAAACTTCTGAGAGCACACAGGGAATTGCAGACCAGCAGAGAGAAATAGCGGAAAAACCCACTAATACTAAGCGTTCAAGAAATCCCAGCGTTCTTGAAAATACGGCAAACGAAGAAGGACGTGAAAACATTTCCAAAAGTAAGAATTTTTTATTCACTTTTATTCTTCACATTCACTGGCAATATCACATTTCTCAGTCTGTTTGCAATATCTATTAAATATAGATTTATTCATATATGTACATAGAGAGCTGAAGACTTCACTTCTGGAAAGGGACTTAACTGGTCCAAAATGGTAAGACGTTCAAGACGTCTTTTGATATATTTTAGCTAGTAGCTTGCTTCTTATGCCTATACTAAAGCGTAATCCCTTTTCTCCTTCTTTTAAATAAAAGAAAATAGAAGTGAGTAGAATATGGAATTTAAGAAGTAATGTGTGGAAATAATAATAACAAGCAAAGTGATTACGTGCAAAATACTGACCACTTTAAAACAGTCAATATCTAAAATTTATATATTTTATAAGGGATGCATGTAGCTTTTGCATTATAGTTGGTGCGACAAAAAATAAGAACTCCCTAAATTTCTTATAAACATTTATTGGTACCGAAGAGGGAAGATGTTTTAACTGATTGGCATACAATTATCAAATTTTTTAATATAGAACGTGTTCAAAGTTCACTTTATTCTCACGCAATTGCTAGAAGAGCCTATTTATTAATTACTGCTTTTGAGAATGCCACATGGATTAGCAAGAAAAAAGAAGAGTAATTTTTCAATATTTTTACTTTATTCGAAAAATATAAAAAGGCCATAAGTGAAGAAAAGATTTCGATTGATCCTAGAAAGCAAAGACCTCTCGTAAGAAGACCATGGGCGAAACAGAAAATATTCCAAAAAACTTCTCAAGATGAAGTTGCTGAAGAGAAAAAAGGTAAATATGATATATATAATAACATAGCAATTAACCAATCTTAGTCAACGAAAGCAATGTTTGAAATAAAGTGCAGTGTTAATCGAATTGCGAAATAGTTCAATTGCTCCTTCACATTAATCAATTGAATTTCTAACATGACTGTGTATATGATTTTTTTCTTTTTTTTTCTGGAAATCTTTAAAGTTCAATTTTTTCCGCTTATGAAAGAGTTTAATTGCTATTTGTATATCCTGCGCTATTTAGGCCCAACGGTATGTTAAGTTTTTGCGGATCACTCAGAAGGGCTTGAGAGAGACCCACCTTTACGTTCGATCCAGAATGGGATTCCAAACGGATCCAAACCGGTCGGTCTGTCTGATGTCTGTCATAAGACGTGCGTTCAAACTACAAGTCGCAATTTTCGAAACGTTTTGTAGAAATTTAACGTGTTTTGGCCCAAATCCAAATGCTATCGAAAATGGACTGAACCGGAATATTTTATACAGCCACATTCCGTAGAAAGCCTAATTTTTAGAAGAGTATAAAGTCATAGGATGTTTAATAGTCGGCTGTGGTCCGCTATAGTCTTTTTACTCATTTACCTTAGCTTTTTAATGCTAATCCTGCCTCGATCCCAATTAGATCCTTTCGATATTCGGCTGGTTATAAAAATATATAAAATATATTTCTAAGATGTCTTATCTCATTTATATGCGGGAATACATGCATAATTTCAGAGAAATATTAGTTTGGGAAAAAAGAAATCCATTATTTTTTCGGTAGATGGCTGCACTGATAGATTTCTCGTAAAGTATCGATCAAACAATTTCCGATACTGTACATTTACATACTGTACATTTCGCAGTAAAAAAAATTCTTTTGCTGTTTTTTGTTTGGTGCATTCAGTTGTGAGTTACAGCGTGTTAAAAATGGAAGTGAACAAAGAGAAAATTCGGTACATTTTACAGTTTTTCTTTGACAAAGGCGAAAATGCAAGCCAGGCGGCTAAAATTGTGAATGGTGTTTATGGTTCCGCTACTGTAACAGCCAATTATGTGCAATTTTGGTTTCGTAGATTGACCAGAAACGGCCAGAATTGGCCAAAAGGAGAGGTGTCGTGTTCCACCAGGACAACGCTAGGCCACACACATCTACAGCGACTCGCCAGAAACTTAGGGAGCTTGGTTGGGAAGTTTTAATGCATCCGCCATACAAATCGGACAATCCGAAGCATGTTAAATAAAGTCCTGAAGTTCATATAAAAATAATGATTTCTTTTTCCCCAAACTAATATATAGAAAAAACTTGTGAACGTATATCCTAATATCGTTCTTACTTAAATGCCATATTTTTAGAATTAAAGTTTATTATACCCTCCGTCGAAGGCAAGGAATGAAAAGAATAAGGGATTTTAGAGACATATAAAGCATTTATATGTTTGATGTTTATAAAATTCTGAATTGATATGACCCTCTCTGCCCTTTGTTCTTTGTCTGTGCGAGCCTGTGTTCTTGCCTCGCTGGCAAGAAATAATATATCAGCAACTAGTTTTGTAAAAGCATCCACGCGATGGCTACTATTGAAAATAAACCCATTCGGCGGAAGAACGCTGAAAGCACATCTGCGTTCAAAAGCAAAATAAAATTGGTTTTTTTTCATTGACGTACAAGAGGTAAGCGACAATGATGGAAACCTCCACGTACATTTTATCCTGCAGATAAAATAGTCGGCCATGCCCACTCTTTCTTTGAAAATAAGGCTATTAAACGTTGTTGGTAGAAGACTATATTAAATTTGTCCGGATATACACAATAAGCAGAAAGACTTCAGATAGTCTATTCGTCTGTTTGCGGCCATTTCCGATATAACGGCTTATTTTGAAAAGTCTTTATGGAAAACCGTATAATGATGTGGATGGTGTAGAGTATTTTTACGCGTTTATAAATCGTATTCAGGGGACGGGCAAGTCTTAGCCGACTCGATTTTGTTTTTAAAACGCACTCAATACTATAGAGCACAAAATTTAATTTTTTCAATTTTTTTATCACTCGCAAGACTAAAGAGGCTGGACGTAAATGCTCGCTAACATTCGACTATAATTCCCTTACATGAATCAATTTTTACTTACTCGTAATCTGAAATTCATTTGTAAATGTCTCTTTTATATAAAATTTAATTTCAGAAGAAGAGACCGCGCCAGGCAAAAAAGGAACAGCGAGTAGTCGTAGTCGTAAACGTGCCGCGCCGTCCGATAAGAAAGTCTTATCCGTTGTTGAAGAAGATGTCGATGGAGATAGCAATTTGAATGAGGACGAATCAAATGGCTCTAAACATAAGTCGGGTTTGACGTGCGGCGCGTAACTGAAAAAAATGTTAATTTCGTGTTTTCCAGCCAACAAGAAAAAAAGACGATCACCTCTACTGTAACGCCTCTAAATAGCACTTCCACAACTTATAATAAAGTCGATTTCGAATTACCGCAGATGGATGCAAAGGATGAACGCATTGCTTGCAGATATAATTTGAAAATTTCAAGTTGGAATGTGTCCGGTGAAAGAGCTTGGTTGAAAAAAGATGGCTTAACATTTTTAAAATACGAGGAACCGGATATATTTTATATGCAAGAAATTAAATGCACTATTGATCAATTGCCAGAAGAGTTGGAACGCATACTCGGTTACCATCCATATTGGTTATGTAAACGGGTGGTTATGCCGGTGTCGCCATTTATTCAAAAATTATGCCTATCAATGTGGAATATGGCATTGGTAACGACGAATTTGATGGTAGCCAACATGACAAAAACAGCAAGGCATGAAAGAAAATGCAATATTTCAGTCGTGATTTATTTAAAGTGATGTAAAGAAGAGCACACATATCCTACGTAGCAAAATTTTTAGTGCTTTTTGTTTATTTTCTTATTCTCAATAATTTGTATAAAAATTGCCAACATCCGAGAGTAAGCGTCCATATTTGTTTACACTTCTCAATAATTGAAAATGTATTTGAAAATTGAATTGAAAATGTGTCTGAAAATTGAAAAGTAAACATTTTTAATATTTGATGCTGAAAAGTGGTCAACAATCGTAATTCCAACCATTCCATATTAAGAATCGTTAACTTCACGCGCAAATTAAGGTTTTTCAAATTTTTTCATTTTTATCATGTCGCAAAGCAAGCGGACAAATTTGAAAATTAAATTGAATATTTCCGAAGGTGTTGATGTGGCTGAGAATCCCGGTAAATTAATTAGTTAATTGCAGAACATCTAACTATAAACATCGTAATACGGATGAATAAATTCAATATTTAATATTTTCAAATTTTTTTGATAGTTAATTGAAACGCTCATAATTGCATTTTGAAATTTTATTACTTTCGTTGTTGAATTTGAAGAAATTTTCTGTCGAATTCCAGATCGAAAGCATATTAAATCTTATTAAACAGTTTTAAACAGTCTTAAACAGTTGTAAACAGTTGTAAACACTTTGAAAACATAGCGAGCTTCCAGATCGAAAGCTTATAAATTCCAGATCATAGGTAGTGATTATTAGTTGTTGTTGTCAGTCGCGTTGGTGTTGCTATTTTGAACTCTTTTTTTATTTTTTTTTTTTGTTTTTTTCACTGCAATTAAGCTACTCCTGTCTCATGACAATTTAATGCTTTGAATATATTTTGTTTACATCGCCACCATATTCATTAGTGTCTCAAGTAACAGATTTGATTTAACTTTTTTTTTAAATGACGGAATTTTAAGAAACAAAATATATGGGTCTTCTGGGCATATAGCAGAAGTAGCAACAAAATTCGTTTATATCTAAAATTAGCTCTTCGCCCTAGATGGTAAGATGAACTGAGAAACGCCAAGTTTTACTCTAATTTGATACATGATGTATTACGTGTGTGCGGACAGAACTGTTGAAGTTAGATCCACCTATTATTATAACGATCGGTTCAGAATAGATCTTTAAATATACCGCTTTTGCTTGTAGAGCACGCAACGTTTTTGGTATTTGGATGAAATTTCCTACGTTACCATTTCTTAGTCTTGGACGTGAATCCTATTCAAAATTGATTGGATTGCAGCTTCAATATAGAAAGCGGTGTAATCTTTAATATTTCGCAGTGACAATCGGTCCATACTAATTGTTTGACATAAAAATGAACTGGACAAGATGTGGATTATATAGGTTTA